AAATACGATATTTTGAGGAAACTTACTTCCAAAAATGATGGTAATAAGTTCTCATAGAACACGCCACTAGCAAGACCCTTGATACCTTTGACTTTGGTAACATTATTATCTGATTTAAAAAAATAATAATAATAAGAAATTCTCAACGATAAAAACAAATACAACTTAATTAATTTAGTTTATTTTTATAACGTACTTGTGTAATATTCATCGCACCCATTATCATTGCAAAACAGGTCCGACAAGAGTGTATCACTTTTAGTACAATTATCTATGGGAATATCTTTAAGTAACCGCTTTCCAAGGACACACATACTGAAAATAATTTAGTTCGATAGAAGTTTATAACTAAAATTGATTGGAGCCTTACTAAAGTTTTTCGTTTCCGTGAATATTGTCAAATATTCCAATATACACCGCTATTATAGAGAATATTACACATGCTAAAGCAACCGCTGCAAATTTATTTACAAACTTTACACCCAAAAACACAATTAAACCTAAAATATATATTTTTTGCTTTATTTAAGAATTTTAAGGTACGCAAATAATCCTTAGTCACCCATAATAAGCAAAAGCAATGTTCCGTATACTCTGAAGTTATTATACATTGCATCCGGATCCTTGGTGAAATCGCCAAATATTGATGCCCACGGCGCCATATAAGTCTATGATATTGTGTCATTTTTAATATGAAATATTTCATTAAATTTTCTAATAAGTATTAAATACCAGTACGATTTCTACAGCACCCACAATGTACATAGCAGCTGCCAACGTAGTTCCGGTATAAAATAACATTCCCACCGCGCCACCGAATTCTGGTCCCAACGATCTATTTCATTGATAAATTTGTAATTTGAAAAATATATAAACTTGTTAATCAGTGATACTTAAAGTAAATGTAAAATAAAGTAAAAGTAAAGTGAAATTTTCAAGATTACCTCGAAATCATGAAATAGCTTCCACCGGCAGGCACCACTCCATTTGTAGCGATTGCTGACATGGAGATTGCTGTTAACATAGTCTATTGGATTTTGAGGAGGTAGAGCATTGTTATTATTATTTTTTTTTATAAGAAAAAAGTATATCAAATTAAATCGGACTTATGAATTAGATCCGAAAACTAGGGATATAGTTTCATTACATAATATTATATTAACACATTAAAATTCAGATCACGATAACATAACGACAAGCTGTGTGCGCGATATTTATATCATTGCACTGTGTGACCTGACGAACATAATCGGTTTAAAATTAGGTGAAAAGTGGAAAATCATTATATCGGATATATTGGGGCTAAGAAAGGT